CTAAATAAACTTGGTTGAGATTCTAATGTATGTTGTAAGGCAATACCTTTATTAGATCAATTAAGAGAACACAAAAATAAGGCTTCATTTTTTAAAAAAAAGATGACCTCTGCGTTGGCTTAATAACCATACTGTATGACCTAATGGGTTTTTCAACTTGCTTTCATATGGCCAATACAGTTCCCTTTTAGTTTTGACCTGGGTTAGGACTACATTCTGGTAGCCACTTAGCATATTCTTAGGAGGCAAGGGCCTCAAAAGACAGGGTAATTATGCAAAGTAGATAGGTTTGTCACACATCTGAGCAGGCCCAGGATTTTCTCTAATTTCCTAGGAGAGTTGGAAGGAGTTTTTTATTTTTATTTTTTTTAATAAAGGCAAAACTTAAGGAAACCAGAACTTTTTTTTTGCTGGGACTAATGGACAGACAACTAGAAAAGACTTCTGGAAAATCGTATATAGTAATTGCAGCGAGATTATATGCACAAAGATGGGGAAATTCTGAAATACCCACAACGGAGGAATGATTGGTGAAGATGACAATTTTACAGAGACAGCAAAATTGACTTGTTTGATTAGGGAAAAGACAATAGATACTTTTATTAGGTACTGGAAACCCCTTATGGACTTTTTGCTGAAAACAGAAAAAAAATGAACTTTTGATTTATGGGTTTGATGATTAGAAAGGGTAGAATATGGAAAGAAGGGAGCCACGATACAACCTTAGAGAGGATAAAATACGAATATATTTATAACTGCTGTAAAGAAGATCAGAAGCCACTCCTTTACATCTTTTTTTTTCTTCTTTTCTGACCCTTTTCTTTTAGCTCTTTCGTATTTACTTATCACTTTTCTTCACTTTCCCTTTTGTTTAAATTTGTATTGTTTTTATTCTGTAAAAAATTTCTTCAATAAAAATTAATTTAAAAAAAGTAAAGGCAAAACGTAAGCCTCAATTTGAGTATGTTTCCTGTCACAAAATACTAGGGGACCACACTGCCAATGTTTTTAATCTTTGACCTAATATAGTTCTGCAGGATCTCAGACCAAAATGTTTCATATCATCTGCTAGCTCAGCATTGAAGTGGGGAATTAAATCTGAGATCTTTTGAATGCAAAACATGTCCTGTATCACTGAGTTAGGCATGGCCTTTCGCACAGCCTCATGGATGTCTGTGATTATCCAAGATGTGGGGATTCCATGGGAGGAACTGATTTCTTTCCCATCTCGTTGCCCCATCTCTGCAAGGCTATAATGTCCCTTGATCAGAACCTTACATATTCTACTCCCTACTCCCTTGCCCCACCCAGTTTCTGTTCATAGAACAATGTACAGTAACTTTCAAACAATGCCCTGAATAACATGGAAGTCTCCTTGCCACTTTGAAAAGTCAGATGGCCTGATAACAACCACCCAGTTCTGCTGTTTCTCTTTTTAGCAACACAATAACACCCAAGCCCCTTCTGGCAGAAGGCGTTTCTGGAAATTATGCACATTAGATTTCCCCCTTCACTTCAGCAAAGTTAGGAATAAACATGTTTTGGAACATTTTAATTGAATTGCTTGGTCTGTATTTTTGATGCTTGGAGTGTTTTTAGTCCTGGAACATTCTGCTTTTTATTTTCTAATCCTCTATCTCTCTTCTCTCAGTCTTTTGTGCATGATTACAAGCCCTACAGAATGCTCCTCCTTTCCACACAAAGAACCAATTGGTTTCACAGTCAAATCTTCGTTTGGGGTTGGCAATGGGACAGCATCCTCCGTGACACCTGAAAGCAGCCGGCTGGTTTACCGAGTCCAGGGCAAGGATTGCAGATTGCAGCACACACAGCTGTGCCTTCAATCTCTTGCCACCACTCCCTGCCCTTCAGCATCTGCTTCAGGCAGCCGACTCATCCTCCTAATTGCAGGACCAGCCCTAAGCGGACACACATTTTATTGACTCTGCTATACAGAAGCCCTGCCAGGATTAAGGATATACTCACTACTCTGGGGAGTGGGGGGTGGGGGGAGGATTTACTTTCCAATTTACCTCTCCTGAATGTGCTCTTCCATTTCCACTGACCCTCAAAATAAGACACATTTTATTTTCTTCTACTTATAAAGAAGATTAGGTGCTCCATAAATAGGAATTACAGGTGCTCTTGGCATTTTTATTCGGAAGGAAGGAAGGAAGGAAGGAAGG